CCCCCCCCCCCCCCTCCCCCCCCATCTGAAGGTCTGGATCTGCCACTGACACTTAGAAGCTTTTTCATTGATATAAATTTTCATTTTGGCAACCTACCACAACTACCTGGTCAGTGATGCTTAATTAACCCATTATTGTGAACGGCATATAAAATAATAATGATTGATTGAAAAATTTCATTCAACCACTTTTTGAGGACTGAAAAATGAATTTAAAAATTATGCATACATGATTCTTTATTTCAAGCATATATATGTACAAGTATTTATAACATTTCTTGAATTTCAGGATCTCCTGCTAATTTTGCTGCTTACACTGGTCTTTTAAAACCTCATGACAGAATAATGGGATTGGACTTACCCCACGGGGGACAGTAAGTTTGCTATAACTCAGAGTTGTTAACTAAGAAAAGTGAATTCAGACAGAATTCATTACACTTTTCATTACACTTTTCAAGGCTATAGATTGATGTAATTAGTTATCTGTTATAACACCAAACAAAATTTTTTATGGGAGCCCAAGAAAATAAAGTTCATATTATAATGAAATATTTTGCATGAAATTTTAACAACTTTTACGAAGTTTTCACAATTCCTGTAAAATTGGAAAGAAAGAAAGAAAGAGAATTGTCTTTGGTGTTATTACAGATAACTAGTTACATCTATGGGCCTTAAAAAAAGTGTAAGAAAGAACACAATATGGTTTAAATTATTCTGGTACAAGGTTTTTGTCCACTGAAAATGAAAATTACTCAAATTTTGTAATGTATTCCATCTTAATACTCTGAAGAGAAATTGTCTTATTGCATATTTCCTTGCAGTACATTTTTTATGTCTACTTGGAAACGTCATTTTAGCATTGTTTTTCAATTTTTATTTTCCTTTAATGTTTAGGCCTTGTCCACTTGTATCCGCATATTTTTAAGAATGGATATTTTTTTCTCCTTTTCCAAAAAAAATACATGTTCACTCATAGCTTATTTGAACCTTGCACATGAAAATGCCAAAACTATAGAAATACAATGGCATCCCTTATAGAGAATGCGTAATGTTCAAAGTATATGATCTATGACATCATCGTATTTGGAAACCTCAGTCTCATCAAGAAGCCAGGTTTTCAAAAGTCTCCACTCTGGGAACTTTTTTTGAAAACTTGCATTTTTGGTGCCTGAAAATGCCATCTTTGGTGGATGGAAGGCTAAAACAGAGAAAAAAATGTCTGTTTTTACAGTGTGACCAGGAAAACCGTGAACACTTCAAATTAATATCTCAGGAATGTTTATTGTGTTATGACTAATCACAGCAAAGATCAGGACACTGGAACTAGCCACAAAGTCACAAACTAATTAACGTTCTTGCTTGCAGTTCAGTTTTCTCATGTCTGATGGGATTTTTTCTTGTAACACGATAACATAATTCCAGAAATATTTCTGGTGTTCACGGTTTGACTGTAAAATTATCCAGACATGTGTGGACGCAACCTAACTGTAGGAACTGGAAGAAACAGAGAATGGAGCTCCTGTTATTTTATAAAAGAATTTCAATCCCAGTGTTTATTTTGGCAGTAATAATTTAGTAATTTGTGTGATTTCGTTCTTATATTTTCAGCTTGACGCATGGCTTTATGACCGATACCAAGAGGATTTCAGCAACATCAATTTATTTTGAGTCAATGCCATACAGACTGAATGTAAGTTATCTGCAAATATATTGAACAAATCTTTTTATTGTCTTGTAAATGTTACAGGGTTCATAGAGCATCTTGAAATTTGAAAGTCTTGAAATTTGCCCAGCAACTTTCCAGACTCAGAAAAAGTCTGGAAAATAGGGATAAAGTCTAGAAAAGTGCTAAAAAGTCTTGAGTTTCTTTTTTCTTCAAAGCTACAACAAGTGCTTTACAAAAAAATATTTTTCATTTTGTCAAATCTTTTTCAATCTCGCCCTATATTTGAAGTGCATGAAAACATACATGTAGCGCTACAAAACAAGCTTTGTTCCTGCATGTTTTTAAGGTCTGTATTGATTGCCTGTTTGATAACCTTGAGTCTGTATAGTCACAGCCTTTACACACTAAAGTTCCACACATGTGGTCCACACATACACAACTTTATTCCAAGACTTTCTACAAAGTGAATCGAAGCGACGTAAGGGCTACCGAAAAACTACAATAAATTAATACAAGGTTAAGATAAAAATAACTACTGAACTAAGTGAAACCAATGCGGCAAAGGCGAAAGAAACAAGCAAGATTCTAACAACACGATAGCAAAAAAATGAAACACCAGGACAAGCTAAACAAACTGCATGTGGGCAGAAGTGAGGGCAACAAAGAACTGATGTCAAAATATTAAAACAGAAGCTAGACACACTATATACAAAGGGAAAAACCTAACATGAAGAACAAAGGTATGCAAACAATGAGCTACTAATCAACTAGAAAACTACACTAACGGCACAATCACGAAAAGAACTAAAAATGCTGCAAACATACAAATACTTTAGACAAAGCTGAGATTCCTTGCGCTAACAGTCTGTTGTAAAAGCTTTAATGGTTGATTTTGTGGAACAGGATTATTTTTGATGAATGAAGAGTGAAGAGTCGTGGATGAGAGGACAACAGACGTACCCTCTTACAATATATTTTAACAAGTGAACAGTAAGCTTGGACGTCAGCACACAAAGGTGCCACTGGCAGCCGCTCTCAGTCCATTTATGAGCTTACTGTACCCACCCATCCCATGATTAAGAATTAAGATTTTTTGAGGGGTTATGATAAATGTTTAGAGCTCTAATAAAAAAATAGAAAATAAAAAAACGGGACATTCTTAAAAATCTCCAACAGAGAATCAACTATGGATAACGTATATTTGGGCTCTGTTTCAGGCCACTTGTGCAGAAAGTTTAGTTAATGGAACGTGACGCTATATATCAGCCCGGAGGGAAAATATCTTCACTTGATGTACTTCAGACTTGTCCGAGTGTATCATTGTTACGTGTTGACAATCAATAGTTACATTGTAGTGTTTGTCTTAAATGTCAAATACAAATTAGTTCACCTTTTACGAATAGGCCTTTTTCTAATAATACTCTTTGTTCCCCCTCCAAAATTTTGCTTATAAGCATTTTTTTCAATTTCTCTTTGGACTTACAATCACCGCTAGAAAAATTAAAAACAATGCTTATGAAAAAATTTTAGAGGGACAAGAAGAAGTATAATTTATGGTGTTTTTGAAAAAGGCCTATGGCTAAACCAGTGAATGCTACATACATTCACGTTTCCTTTGCTGAGATACATACAATCGGTGACAAAATTAATTGAGACACTCAGACCAAAACAAAATTTCATGTCAATGTAATCACAAATAAGGCAAAATACCTTTTAGTAGTACCGGTCGCCCCTTCCTTCTAGTCATTGATGTTGTAAATGTTTTTTTAGACTGTGAGTAATTGAATTTACTCTGCCAAAGATGAAACATAAATATTTAGATTTGCTTTCACAGGCTGAAACCATAATTGTAAATTGCAAGAAATATTTTGTATAAATTATTTGTCATGTTGTTTATTTCAGGAAGATACAGGGTTGATTGACTATGACAAACTGGAGGAAACAGCTCGACTGTTCCGTCCACGTCTCATTATTGCTGGTGCTAGTGCATATTCTAGACTTTATGACTATGAAAGAATGAGAAAGGTACTTTCAATCCCTATGGAGACATTAGAGACAAATAACAATGAATTATTTTTTTTGCAATATTATATTGGTCATCAGTCAATGTCCTGCAAACCTTGGCCCCTGAACAATGAAGCTGAACTAGCTGTGGTCAGACAAGATGGCCGAACAAAATAAAATTTCCCTTGGGTGCATTTGAATAGTGTACATACCAACAAAATAATGTTGCATAGAATATATGGCATTTAAAATTCAAGAATTTAAAATTTTACGTCTCTTTACAACGTATTTACAGTATAGTACTGGTAATTTTGAAAGTCAGTTGTGATATTGTTGTTGTGTCAGATTGCAGATGAACATAAAGCTGTTTTACTTGCTGACATTGCTCATATCAGTGGCCTTGTAGCTGCACAGGTCAGCGAAATATATACCTTTAAATAATATTATTACTTGTCTTGCAAAACATCACATGTATTATTGTTACTGGTCTTAAAAAGGTGAAGTCCTACATGTATTTGAATTATTGAACTTTGGAGTTCTGTTGAACCACAAGTAGTAACTGTGGTCCAAGATTTTTTAAAGATACTCACCAAAATTCAACTAGTGAAAGTGTCGATCTCTTCAACAACCACTTCACTTCAGTAGCTAATTGTTTCTTCATTTAGTACCTCTGCATCTTACTTTTTCACTCAAGTTTTGTTGTTAAAATCATGTCAGTGCATAATTCTCACCTGTGTAAATTCCCTTTGGTATCTTTATCAACCTTTTCCGTGTAATTTTTTTTTCACACATAATTTCCTGAACACCTTCGTATAGAGATGGAAGTTGAGGCCTATTAAAACCCCATGAAGCTGCAATAAAAATCAACTAAAACCTAAAACTGTAGACCTTAATCATTGAAAGGAGACAATTAATTTTCACATATCCTATTCTGATTTTGCAATAGAACTTACAGATCTATTTTACCTTTTGTACCTGTTACAATTGATCAACACAGCAAAAACCAGTTCACCAAAGCAAATATGAAAACTTTTCTTATTATTTTTGCCACTCTGAAAAGAATTTCAACAGAAGAACTGAAAATTTCAAAAGCAAAATCAGGAGCTATGACAAGATAATACACATTGAAAAAGACTTTTACAATGTGAAGTCAAGTGAAGTGAAGTGACGCCTATATTTAAAGAGGGTAAACACATGACAGTTTTGACCTAAACTGATGGACTTGTGGCCTTCAATAAACATAAAATCAATAATAATTTTACAATGTCATTATAAAAAGATAAAAAATTTACATATGTGAATAAATGTTAACTATTTGAAAACTATTTAAAACAAGTAAAATGAAAATGAAAATGTTACTCATTTTACTATCTTATGGACTTAAACCAGGGTGACTACTGTACATCTTTAAGTTTTGGATATTTAACAAAGTGTAAAACAATTTTTCATAGTCTTTACCCTTATCAACCATAAAAGTGACCTCAAAATGTACAAAACTTAAGTTGAACCAGGAGCTGTGGGTGAGTGGTTTCATTGAGAAGTTTTGAGCACTTTGAGGTGGGCTCATTTCCGTGAAAATTTTTTTTTTTTACCGTTATATTGAGAGTTATTGACATCCATTTTCATTGAAGCTTGTTGGGAAACTACATGTGTGAAAAGAAAAACAAATAATTGTGCCATCACCACATCATTTTCACGGCCTGTACTCTTATCAGCCATAGCTCTTGACCAATCTGCACGAGAAATCCCTTTGTAAGGTTTTGGTAAAATATATTTTTTTATTGTTTTGCTTGTTAACAGGCCATTCCCAGTCCATTTGATCATTCCCATGTTGTAACCACAACAACTCACAAGACTCTTCGAGCTGTCAGGTACCATGAATTTTCTCAAAAATTTACATTTTAAATATGGCTTTAATGTCACTGTGTAGCTTTGAAAGCTATCGTTGATTAATCTTCAGCCTTTGGTACTGATCCTTTCCTATTTCAGAGCTGGCTTGATTTTCTACCGTGTTGGCGTTAAAGGAATCAACAAGAAAACTGGAAAAGATATCCTTTTAGATTATATCTATTTGATAGAAGAGGTTTCTCGAAGAAGCCTTAACTGCTTGATTCTTGTTTGAATTACTTTGTGTTTGTGGGGAAGACTGAATCTAAAATTCACCCCTTGTAGGGGAATCCAGGTTCCAGAATCCGTGTTCTGAAATTCGGGAAAGTTTTGCTTGTGGAATCTGAAACCCTGGGCTTTGAAATCCAGAATACAGATCGAGAAATCTGGAATCCCACTAACGACTGGACTTGGGAATCCAAGTTTGACTGACAAAGAATCCAGAATCCATGGCGTGGAATCCAGAATCGAAGACTGTCGCGCATTCCTTTACATGGGGAGGATAAAGTCATCAGTTACTTAGATTCCTTTTCACACACACCTCCATTTTTACTAAGCGCTTTCAGATTGACGTCAACATACAATTATATTGTCCTTGACAATGCTGCAAAGATCAAGTATGATTTTGATAAGAACATTGACTTTGCAGTGTTTCCATCACTCCAGGGAGGCCCACATAACCATGCTATAGCTGGCGTGGGTGTCGCACTCAAACAGGTGAGTAGCAAGTGTCAATCAAGCAAGAGTGTTGCCTTGGTAGGGTGCAAAATAAGGCAGCCCAAGGCTGGTGAATTCTGTTCTTAACGTGGCCAACCATGAACATGCAAGTGTGGTTTTTTGGGGGAATTCAAATTACAGAAAAACTGTAATCAATCCTGCTCATCAAAAATGTGTTCTTCATGTTCCAAGAGTGACCAACATAAATTTTCGCCTAAAATATCAGTAGATAATCAATAGGAAAGGTCATGAGAATTGAAAAAATGATCGCCAAAGGAAAAATGCTTTGATCTGTTACCAAATTCTTTTAACTAATTCCTTAAAAAAATACATGAAGATCGGTCTTGAGCATTTTTATCTGAATATTGGAGCTTATAGGAAAAGTTGAGATAATGGCATTCAACAGATAATTAACTTGTAGTTATGTTTCAGGCACAAACACCGATGTTTAAGGAATACCAGCAACAGGTCCTGAAGAACGCAAAGAGCATGGCCAAAGCTTTGATAGATTTAGGGTACTCCATTGTATCGGGTATGTTTGCTGGAAGACATTCATATTTTTTCACAATTCAGTTATCCTATAGAAACTCTCCAGGGTTGCTTGCTCTCTACATTCCTTTGAGAAGTATGTATCTCCATTATTCAGGGTACGCACAGTCTTAAAAAGTCCTTGAATTTTAGGGGAAGCCCTTGAAAAGTCCTTAAATGTCTGTGCAAGTCCATGAAAAGTCCTTGAATTTCCTTCAACTTTGAATGCAGTGGTCTGGAAAGTGTTTTTTAGGGCTTTTTTGCTTGTCCAAGACAGAATATAAATCATAGCTCGGAGAAGTTAAAGGTGATTTACATAAGGCATCTTTTGTTTTATGCAATAATTAACTATCGATTTAAGATAAGTGAACTGAAAAATGTAGAGGAGTTGTTGGAGAAAACAGTTAGAATGGACCACGAAAGTGCATTTTTGTGCAATCTGTGAAATTACATTCCTAGTAGATGGTCCTTGAAAATCGAATGTGGTCCTTGAAAATTCCTTTAAAAAATGGTTGCTATTTTTTTGTATCAACCCTGTTATTGTATTTCTTACTTGTTTGGCAGGTGGAACTGACAATCATCTCGTCCTGCTGGATCTGAGACCCAGAGTAAGTTTATTAGTTATCTTTGAATACTCAACTATGACGTCCCCACAAGCTTTTTTTACATTTAAAATAGCGATATCGAGAAACTTTTAGACAAAGTTTTTAAAATACGTCTAGACTGCGAGCAGTCTCTCTTTTTCTTCAGATTTAGTAAGCAGAATGCACGCGCGCGCGAGTGTCGAGGCGAGAAACGAGGGCGGCACGTGGTCATTTTCGCCGCGCGTTTTTTTTTTTTGACTGACTAAGAAGAAAGAGAGACTGCTCGTAGTCTAAAATAGGCCCCAACAGGAATTGTGGAAGAACTGCTGAGGTGATTTTCCATCTTATGCAAAGTTACAGCTTGCGCATGTCGGTGTGGCGAAATGGATGAATGATAATTATTGTCACGTCTTTGTTCTTTAGGGAATTGACGGAGCCCGTGTGGAGAAGGTTTTGGAAATGTCCTCAATAACAGCAAACAAAAACACGTGTCCTGGCGATAAGAGCGCTCTTAAACCAGGCGGACTCAGACTAGGTAAATAAACTACAGTTTTTTCTTAGTTTAAAGTGTCTTAGCCTAAGAAAACAGTCGACATTTCGAGACGTCACCACTGCTTTTCCCGCGAAACGACTTCTGAGGAACGACTGCGGAAATTCCATACTGATGACGTGTCACTACCCAGATCTGAGTACATGTGGTGACACGTTATCAGTATGGAGTTTTTGTGTTCGTACCTCAACCGTCATTTCGCCGGGAAACAAGTGTTGGTATCGCAAAATGTCGGCTGTATTCTCAGGCTATACGTGTCCTGTTTATTCTATTAACCCTTTCATTTCCAAATTTGGCCAAAAGCAAATTTCGACCAAATTTCCAAATTTCATTTTGTGAAATTTTGAAAAACTCATACCACCATGTGTAAGTTCGGGCACAGAGCTTTCATTTGAATGATCACATCATAGGATTTCGTCCTCAGACTCAAAAGTTAGAGTCACCTTACAAAACTCCATAGGGTAAGCTCGAAGTTAAATCATAAGACTTCTACCGCGTAGAAATGTCCTAGTTTGCCCGGTGTACAATACAAAAAAAAAAACTTCTTACGAGACTAAGATACCTGGTTTCCTTGTAGGAGCGCCCGCGCTGACATCTCGCAATTTCAAGGAGGAGGACTTTGTAAAGGTTGTGGAGTTCATTGACCGAGGAGTTAAGATTGCTTTAGAGGCTCAAAAATCAACAGGTAAAAATAGGTAACATGTACATGTGTTCGGTACATTTGCTAGCCTTTTCCGAAGGTTGCTGGTCATATTAGCGAGGAAGCTTTTTTGTAGTTTTAATAGAACTTCAGCCTTAACGTCAGATTCATATCAGTTCTAAGTGGGAAATTTAAAACATTGCTGTTTATGCAAAAAGTTATAAAAACTGAACACTTACCAGCAATAGCTGACAAGTAAAAAATTAACTTGTTACGTATTACTAAGAAATCGATTATTCCTTGGAATTAATTCATCGTACCCTTACGTTCCCTGCACCATTTTTTCTTTTGGGTTTTTTCTTAAGGGTTCAGGAGGGAGGTAGTTGTGCACAGTCTCCTAGAAAGACTCCCTTTAGTGGGCTGAACTTTTTAGGAATAGTAGAAAACCCTAATGCACAGGTCATAACTAGAAGCAGGTACATATAGAAAGGCCTGTTAGTTTTATTCATTATTAAATCGTAAAGCGCACGAAATTAGCCTGCATAGAAGGCTTTACAAAGGAAGTAAACGCGTAGGGCACCCTATTGCTTTCCAGGCCCTGCTGTCGGGCAGGCAGTGCACGCTGGGATACAAAACCACAAGTTTCTTAGTCCTGCGGACGGGTGTGATCACCAAATGACGTAACACAAAACATTGAAAATACATTGATAAATACCCACGTCACAAAACCAATGGTTTCCGCACATCAAGAAACAGCCACAACTATTGATTGGTTGCACAAGGAAAGAAGTGATGTCCTTAGACGTCAGACCTTGATTAATTATTGGCTTCTCTTTCTCAGGTGACGTCATGAAAGACTTCTTGTCTCATATCGAATCCAATCGAGAAACCAAAGACAAAATTGATACCCTCAGGGGAGAGGTGGAGAGTTTTGCCAGAGGTTTTCCAATGCCAGGATTTGACAACCACTAAAGACAAATTAAAATGTATGAAGACAGGGAATTGAAATGGTGCAGAGAAATGACCACGGACAAGCCCGTGAATTCTTCTTATCAGGGTCGAGTTGTTGGAAGCTCGGTTCGCTCTAATCCTGGGATATTCCTTTACGATTTCCAAGAGTGACCAACATTAATTTTCTCCTTACATCATCAATACATCATCAAGAGAACAGCTTAGGAGAATCAATAAAATGATCACCTAAGGGAAAATGCTGTGATCTTTTATCGAATTCTCTCAACTTATTCTTTAAGTAAATGTCTAGAGTTCAGTCTGGAGAATTTTTTGTGTGGATAAAAAATGGAAACTATATCTGGATTTGTGCTAATCGTCGTACGAGCAACTCGACCTTCCGTCAAGTAACTGAGCCTACATACATATCCTGAAACTACAACTTGGAGCTCAACGAGTCGGTATTTCAGTAAAATTTACAAACGAACAAATCCACGAATAGAAAAAATCCAAATCTTATTTACAAGTCTTTGTTGACAACAACGAATAATATATACCCTATGGAGGACCACGTATTTTTATAGACAGAGATTGCGAATAAAAGAAACAAACCGCGCTGCTGTGTGAAAGATTGTCACCTTACTCAAATATCTAGTAAACGAACGGTAGGTCTAGTCATTTTAAAGCAAAGAGCATTTGTAGGAAATGCTGTGTTATTGCAAGCGGTCATTGCAAACTGAATGCAAAACTCAAACGGTTTTTAATTTCCCTTGAATCTCAAAGTCTTGTCCGAATAAATAAAAGACTGTCATTGAATTTATTAGTAAGCGTTCTACTTTTCCTATTGCACTGACGGTCCGCACACGAAGTCGACAAGTGCCCAACCTTTTAACGTTATCTGCTTCACTAGCCTGAGAAACGGCCGACATTTCGCGACGACAAGACTGGTTTCCCTGCGAAATAGAGACCTTTAGATTCTGAGACGAGTACGACTACGAGTAAAAGATGTCCTTAATACTAAGTAGTGCGCGGACGTGAACCAGCGTCACTTTGGCGGGAAAACATGTTCGCCGTCGTTTAGAGTTTACGAGTTTAGAGAGAATGTCGTGGTAGACCGTGGTACCGGAAACAAGTTATAAAGTGTTAGAGGAGTCATCATTTTGTGGCCGGGAGATGGTTTAAGCTCCTTCAGTGAAGGTAACAGTGCTAATTTTGTGGTGAAAAAGAAGCGCTATGAAGCTTTCCGGGGTATCTATAATTTGAGAATACGGGAAAAAACTTTAAGTTAATTCTCGTACTCATGGTCGTTTTCGTTCTAGAATCTAAAGGTCGTAATGACCTGAGGAACGAGCGCAATCATTTCGCGGGAAAACCAGAGGTGGCGTCGCCAAATGTCGGCTGTTTTCTAAGGCTAACATTTCACACGAAGTAACCATATGTGTTTGCTGTCAACGAGAGGACGAAAGATGGCCCTCGGGAGATTTAGGGGCAGCGCAATCTGAAAATGTGATTTAAGCATCGAAAAATCGTTTGTGAGAGAATTAACCGAATGTTACATGTTGCGTCCGTTTGCACACCCTGTTGCATATTGCGTGTTGTTGGGAGCTGTTGGGCAAAGTTGGAAACCGGTCAAACTGTCCAAACTTTTAGCTCCATGCAAACGGCGTAACATTGTTGGCCAACATTGTTGGGAGTTGTTGCGTCTGTTTGAACGTAGCTTGAGATTTTTAAGCCCTCGGTCTTTGAATTTTTCCAACCCTCAGTCTTTGCAGTATTCGATTACTTCTGAACACCCCATTGAAAGTGTTTTGCATGTATTTCACCAATGCTCGCTCTTAAACGTTTTAAAGGAAAACAGTTTCAGCAAAATGTAAATAACACTGTTGTGCTTTCAAGTAGTTCAAAAGTAGCGGGTAACTAGTTCTCCTTAGACAATGAGGTCTTAATTGGGATAAGTATGCCCCGGGGGGGGGGGGGACCTCCCATACATTATCTATACGGGTATGTGCCGCTCAAAGGGGTCGTGATTTTGAAGCTCCTGGTTTAGAACGGGGTATCCATTTCAGAGGCGTTTTCAAGAACGGGGTATAATATTTCGAACGCACGAAAGCTCTCCCCTTTTTTAAGCAGCCATTTGAAAGCATTCAAGGACAGATTGCTTTTAAAAATACGGTTCAGTGCGTTAACAAAAACCGTTGTACTCTTGTTGCACCCTAGAACGGAGTATAAAAAATTGGCCCATTTCTAGAACGGGGTGTTAGTTTTAGGGCGAATTCTAGAACGGGGTATAAAAAATTGGCCTATTTCTAGAACGGGGTATCAATTTTAGGGGAAGTTTTTTCTAGAACGGGTTGCCAATTTGGAGTCCCGGGCGGCACATACCCACCCAAAAAATACCCAAGTGCCCCCCCGGGAAACATGCCCAGGATATTTTTTTCTTCAATTACTAAGGTAAGACGGACTCGCTTGACAGCTATATGAAAAGCAAACGGTGACCCATGGTATGGATTAAGGGTTGACATTTTAGTGGATCATATTTTTTTAGGTAAAAGGAAATAAGTAAACTCATCATTTATTCGTGTTCCCTAATTATTATTTAATAAAAGTTGTCGTGTCACAAAACGCTAAAAAAATAAAAATAAAAAACATCAAAATAGAAATAAAAAATACAATGTCAGTGCGTAATAAACGCGCGATCATCATTCGTCTACAAAATTAAGAGCATATTGCTATCTGAGAACAAAAATAGTCAAATTATAATAGTTAAATATTAAATAAAGGAAGCGGAGCGCGTTTTTTAACGTGTAGGGAAATGACATTCTTTCTTTGTTCATAGACTAGTTTGCCTGAAACTCTAATTCTAAAAATCATCGAGAAAGAAAGAAAGAGTGAAAAAGTTGAAAGAAACTCAAAAATTCAGCTTTTAGCTCTGTTGGTTGTATTTACTTGTCTAAATTTTTCTAAGCTTAGTTAACTTTAATTTCAAAATAATGAAACGAAGCAGAAGAGAGAGGCTGAACGTTCGAGAAAAAAGGGCAGGGGAGGGGGAGGGGGAGTGAAGTGGAGAATAGGAGAGGGGCGGCTTAACAAAAGCGCGCCATTCAACCAAGATGAAAAATTTCATTTACTGATCTCACTGCATGATCCTTTGAACTCCTTTCGCCGGCAAAGTCTATCTCCACAGTACTGCCTTAGTTTTAGCATTACTTAGATAGAAATGTAACACATCTTGTGTAACACCCGAGTGATGATTGCGAGGTAAAATCGTTTCCTAAAGTAACTGGTTGTATAAGGCATTTTTCTTCTCAATAGACAGCTATCAATCAACCTGTTCTCTTTCCCCACCCTCAACGCCCACCAATAGACAACTATCTGTTCTGCATATGTTCTTATTTCTTTAATTTTTTGCCCCTCTTCTTGCCGGGCAAAAACGTTTCTTAAACTGGCATGTTCATTAAATAAAAAAATAAAAATATTTAAAGAAATAATACAAAGAAGTGTTCAAAAGACAAATGACCATCTGAGAATGCGAGTTGCCTATCTACCAATCCCTTTGCTGAGAGATTTCCAATCTGAAGAACATTCTCTGATAACACAAGACGCTTTTATCCTTTTGCTGGACTGAAAAACTTCACAGTAATTTCCTGCTTCCATCTCTCCATCCAAATGTACTTCGATGCATGGACACAAGTGTCAATCACGACTTTTTTTATGCTGGCTGTCCAAACAGCTGCACACGATTGTTACGAAAGTCTGCAACAATTATATTTCCCTCAGGGGTCAATGCCAGGCCATGAGGATCGTTCAATTGCCCGTCTCCATCCCCCTTAGTGCCAAATTTGCTAATGAAGCGACCGTCGCTAGAGAACACTTGAATGCGATGATTGTCTCTATCTGCGACAATAATATTTCCATCATGACCCACGGCTACACCTGTCGGACGCATTAATTCTCCTACTTGGCTGCCTTTACGACCAAAATTAAACATAAATCGACCACGTGAATCAAATACCTGAGAAGAAAACAACGAAAATAAAAACAATAAGTTCTCTTTTTATGATCTTCTAACCTATATACCGTATATACTCGCATAAGCACCTCAGCGCTTATTACATTTTCACGCCTTAAATGGGGCACTTGTTCGAGGGCGGAGCTTATTTGAGGGCGGCGTGTACTTAAAGATTGGACGCGACAAAGAATTGTTTTAATTGCGGTATTATCATTTTCCGTATTTAACTAACCGAATTAACGTCTTTTGATTTTGATTATATCCTTGCCGCGGCGCTTTTTCGAGTAAATACGGTATACCTTTACAAGCAAGGCTTACACTACAGCCGACAAGAGAGAAGCAAACCTGAATCCGATGGCTGTGCATGTCCGACACAATAATGTGCCCTTGAGAGTTCACTGCTACGTAA